AGAAATAAATAAAACATTAAAAAAAAAAAAAAGGAAAAGCAAGTTTTGCTTCTATTGACCAATAACAAATTCTATTGATTTGTTTAGTAACTCTTGACCAGAGATGCTCATATGCATTTGACCACAAGCTACCCCTTGCCTATCTAGGAAGGTACTCTCTAGCTTAGCATCAACCTAAGAATCACCTATATGAAAATATAAAAAAGGGGACCACTTGACAATCAGGAGGTGTGCAGTTACATTGGTCAGATATTTGATTTCTCATATTTTTAGTTAGGCAAAGGGGAAGGGATAGATGGAATCAATATTGTTGATCTGACTCAGTATGTGCTAATGGCACTGTATAAATACATATATTTTATATGTATATATATAATACACTGTATGTACATATATATATACACTGTATATAATATTTATATATAATCACATTTTTATTCTCATGTAAGTAATATTATCTAAATTGAAGCAAGAAGTAACCTCTTTTTATACAGCTTGTGGAGCCAAAATTCAAACACAGGGCTTCTTGAGGTCAAAGCCCAGGTTTTTTCAACCCCCTTATGAGCTAAGTTTTACGTGCAAAAGATCAGCCACTGGGAGGTAATGGACATTTAACCTATAATCAGCCTAATGATTTTTTTTAAGTTTATTTATTTTGAGAGAGACAGAGACCGTGTGAGTGGAGGAGAGGGAGAATGAGAGAGGGAGAGAGAGAGAATCTCAAGTAGGCTCCACACTGCCAGCGTAGAGCCCGATGGGCTCAAACTAATGAAACCATGAGATCATGACCTGAGCCAAAACCAAGTGTCAGATGTTGACTGAGCCATCCAGATATCTTTAGCCTACTGATTTTCAATACCCAGGGTCTTACCAGCCACTGAGTAGACATTTCTTTCTTCATTCATTCAGTTCTCATTTGTTAAGTACCTGCTGTGGACTAGTCATTATGCTACCTGTAAGATGCTGCCCTCCATGTAGTTATTGCTTCTTCAAAATGGTCATCATCACCTATAGACTCTCCAGTAGATAGAAAGGTGGGTAGGTGGATGACAGATGTAGGTAGGAAGGAGGAGCAGTGTGGCAGAAAGAGAGAAGAGAGAATCTCAAGCAGGGTACACGCTCAGTGCAGAGCCTGACATGGGGCTTGATCCTATGCCCCTGGGGTCATAACCCAAGCCAAAATCAAGAGTTGGACACTTAGCTGACTGAACCACCCAGGCACCCCTCTCTCCCAAACTTCCTAATTTCTCTTTTCACATTAAACATCTTCCCTTTTACCTGGATGATTTTTTCTCATTTCTATAATCATTGAGAAATTTTTGAAAGATATAAACAGAACCTCACTACTGCAGAAGTTCATGGAACTACCTTGTGCATCAAGGGAAGGAGAGGAGGATTTCAAATGAAGTGTGTGAAGCTGGGGCACCTGGCTGGCTCAGTCCCTCAGTCCGTACACCATTCAACAACTGTTGATCTTGGGGTCATGAGTTTAAGCCCCACATTGAGTGTAGAGTTTACTTAAGAAGAAAAAAAAGAACTGTGTAAGAGTGCCTGGGTGGCTCAGTCTGTTAAGCAGCTAACTCTTGATTTCAGTTCAGGTCATGATCTCACGATTCTTAGGTTTGAGCCCAGCATTGGGTTCTACACTGCCAGCATGGAGTTTACTTGGGATTCTGTATCCCTCTCTATTTCTGCCCCTCCCCTGTGCTCTCTCTGTCTCTGTCAAAACGAACAAACAAATAAATAAATAAAAACTTAAAAAAAAAAACATGTAAAGTTGTGGATTGCAGCCACAGCTTCACTGAAAAGCCAGGTAGCCAATGGTGGGTTTGATTCAACGTTAATCGTGAAGATCCCAGTTGCATTAAAACAGTCACTGACACAACTGTTCCAAAGCAAAGACACAGATAGAAATTTACGGTTGTCAAAATAGTATTGTAGACATTTTAAGTGAATTTTCTAAGCAAGGAACTTTTATGTAAAAATAAATATTATAAATAAATGAGATCAAGTGGGATGCAACTTGAATGTAGTGAATGCCTACTCTATAGTGAAATGGGAAGACTTTCTGGTGATCCTGTTTTAATCATATAAGAGTTGGACTATATAACCAAATCTTTTTCTTTTTTATGAAATAATGTTAAGTTCTTTTTCATAGTGATTCACCTAACAAAGGGTGCATATACTTGAATTAAAGATGGCCCCAATTTAAGAAAATTTTTTTTGTAGTTTATTTTTGAGACAGAGAGACAGAGCATGAGCGGGGGAGGGGCAGAGAGAGAGGGAGACACAGAATCTGAAACAGACACCAGGCTCTGAGCTGTCAGCACAGAGCCTGATGCGGGGCTGGAACCCATGAACCATGAGATCTGACCTGAGCTGAAGTTGTCGGACGATTAACCAACTGAGCCACCCAGGTGCCCCATGATGGCTCCAATTTATATGCAGTGTCCATAAGGATTCTGAGCCAAGTATCCAGTTATAACTCGAGGCATAATGTCTTTATCGTAACGTGACCTTAGTGTTTCAGACAGTAACTCCACACTGTTACATTATGGGTTAAGCTGTATTTACATATAACTTGACTGCAACAATGGAGGAAGATGCTTAGTTTTACAGATGGTGTTGTATAAACAGTCCTGTTAAAGGTACTTGCAAATGACATTAGAGTTGGAAACTGAAATGGTATTGTGAATACACTTACAGCTGCTATCATTTCCTTTCTCAAAGAAAGGGACTTGGAGTGCCTGGCTGCCTCAGTTGATAGAGCATGTGACTCTTGATCTCAGGGTTGTGAGTAGAAGCCCCGTGTTGGGTGTAGAGATTACTTAAAAATGACATCTTAAAAAAAAAAAAAAAAAGATGTCTGTTCCTTGATATTTATGCACACAAATTTCTACATAATCCTTTCTTTTAAGGAATATTCTTTATCTTTTTATTTCTCAAGTCACCTCATTCTTACTGATCATAACACCAATAAAATATACTTTCACAGCATTTTAAATTGCCTCCTAGCCATTGAATCAGATGTATGTATAGAAAGATAAGTAAGATTTTGGGGGGATGTGTGTGTTTATATGTTGGTCAAAGTAAACCAACAGCTTGAGTACCTGAAATCTAGTTGAGAATTATACATGTTAAAATATTCACTAGAAGTACAATCTTGAAGACTGTGATGATAAGTAAGCTGACCGCCTCAAGAATTCTACATAAGGCTTTCGTTTTGGTGAAACTTAGTGTCATTCAATAACATTTGCCAGATTTTACTTTTAAAAAATTGTAATGACTTTTCCTTGTCTTTTCCTCTGTCGCTGATACAGATCCACATCCAGAGAACTGAAGGATGTGACCATATGACCTGCTCACAATGTAACACTAATTTTTGTTATCGATGTGGGGAAAGATACCGCCAGCTCCGGTTCTTTGGAGACCACACCTCAAACCTCAGTATATTTGGATGCAAATATCGCTACCTCCCAGAGAGACCTCATCTAAGGAGATTAGTGCGAGGGTCCGTCTGTGGTGAGTGTCCAACATGATTTACAGGGATGCTTTCTGGGAAGTAAGCATTGATCAGAGAACCCAGAGACACAATAGCCGTGATAATTCTGAGCACCTGTCAGATGTTCTAGTGGGGACGTCATCGAAAAACAGGAGGAAGAGATTTTCTCTGTTTTTGAGTTTCAAATGGAAATTTAAATTCATTAGCAGGACACAATTTATATGAGCAAATGGATTTTGTATGAAAAACAAGTTATTACACTGCAGAAATGTGAAGTCATCGGGGCGCCTGGGCGGCTCAGTCGGTTAAGCTTCTGACTTCGGCTCAGGTCGTGATCTCAAGGTTTGTGGGTTCGAGCCCCACATTGGGCTCTGTGCTGACAACCAGCTCAGAGTTTGGAGCCTGCTTCAGATTCGGTGTCTCCCTCTCTCTCTGATCCTCCCCTGCTCATGCTATCTGTCTGTCTGTCTCTCTCTCTCTGTCTCAGAAATTTAAAAAAATGTGAAGTCATTAGTCTTTTAATTTCTGAAGTCTTATATAAGCCACTTGATGAGAGAGACCGTGTCACATTCGTGATTCTATTGACAGTACCTATCAACGAGTCTTACACATGTCCTCTATTCATTCATGGAGGACGTGTAATACAATTTTTAAAAATCCTGTGTTTCAGAGCCCTGTACTGGAGTTTTATTGTATCTATAATGGTTGATGTCACTATATGTATCTTCTATTGTATTAATAGCTAACAGTTATTGAAATGATTATCAAATGCCCTTGTTGCATATGAACCTAAGTTTAAATATCCAAATGCAATGTTTTTTTTGTTTTGTTTTGTTTTGGATTTACCCCCTTCTTTGTCCTCAGCAACACACAATCTCATACACAAATATGCAGACATAAACACAGATGTCCATTCTGGCCTGATGACACCAAACTTGTGTCCTACGGTGTTCTTCTGACCTGATATCGCTTCTTCCAACTAGCCCCCTACTTCTCTGGAATATATCCACTGTGAGGCTTCCTCTCTTTTTCATTACCCAAAACTCTAATATTTTGGAGGACTAGCTAGGGAATCTAAGCCCTATTTATAACAGTATTACCATGAGCATACCACATTGCAAATTAAGTTTTGAGCTATAATCTATTTGTAAGTCTGTATATACAGAGAGCAACCCAAAACCACAAAAATCCTTCTATTTTCTGTATTACTTGTTCTTTTCTTTCCTACTTCAATGGCATTTTGTGGTAAGATGTTTCTTTCCTTTTTTTACTTTAATCTTTTTTAAAAATTTTGTTAACATTTATTTATTTTTGAAAGAGAGAGAGAAAGAACATGAGTGGGTGAGGAGCAGAGAGAGAGGGGGAGACACAGAGTCCAAAGCAGGCTCCAGGCTCTGAGCTGTCAGTACAGAGCCTGATGTGGTGCTTGAACTCACAAACTGAGATCATGACTTGAGCTGAAGTCAGATGCTTAACCGACTGAGCCACCCAGGCACCTCTACTTTAAATAATCTTTTATTTGACCCTCATTTTCCCCCTTTTTGTTATTTGGTTTAATCATTTTTAAATAAGGGAATTTATTTCCTGCCCTATTTGTACAAAATATTTTGGATACATTCTCTTTGAGTCCTCTCATTATTTACCGAGAAGCCACCAGAATCCTCTTCTTGGGTCATAAGATAGTGTTGAGTTACTTATCAGCCTAGAAAATGTACAACCAATAAACATTATCAGCAGAGAAATATCTTCTCTGTCAAGTCTTTTCCATTTTTATTTAAAAAATTCAGGGGCGCCTGGGTGGCTCAGTACGTTGAGCGGCCGACTTTGGCTCAGGTAATGATCTCACCGTTCTCAAGGGCTAGCCTGGAGCCTGCTTTGGATTCTGTGTTTCCCTCTCTATCTGCCCTTTCCTGCTCATGATCTCTCTCTCTCTCTCTCTCTCTCTCAAAAATAAATAAAACATTTTTTTTTTTTTAAAATTCATGGTCAGCTTTCTGTAAATGGTTTTCTTTTTTGGCCTATTTTCTGCTGTGTGTGTATGTGTGCATACATGTGTGTCTGGACAGACCTGAGAAAGTGGGGAGCAGCTGACTTTCAGATAAGCTCTCCCTCCCACACCTGTTTTCCCATGTCCAGGACAGCTGTCTCTATGTGCTGTTAGACCATAGCTCCAAACGAGGTGGTCCACACCTCTGCCATCCTCACAGAAGGCTACAGAATGAATTACTCTGTAAGTCGCAACCCTAGCTTCTCCCTGCCATATGAGAGAGAAGATGGAGTACAGCAAACCCCTCCACCGTTTTGTCTTTGTGGGAGGTAATCCAGTTTCCTTCCTCAGTTTGGGACTGCAGCCTCCAGATGTCCTTGGAGGCAGAGAAAGGGCCTGCTCTTCCCTCACAGCTGGAAGATGGGCAACATGGTTTGCATTCCACATGACCATGTGTCCAGCCAGGGATCAGAAGTTCTGCTCCTAAAGAATAAGAGAGAATGGGATGTGAGGATGATGTTAGCAGCTTCCTTTACGGAGGCCTCTCCCTGATGGGGAATAGGCAGCTTATTCAGTGAACGGTGTGGCGAATAAAAGTGACTGAGAAAAAATATTCTCCTCTTATTACATACAAATACCCAAAGTATTAAAGTGTATAATAGTAAATAAAATAAAGGTTTTTAACTGATTTCTAGATGGCAAATAATTTTTTTTTTATTTTTTATTTTTTTTTATTTTTTTATTTTTATTTTTTTACAAATAGTTTATTGTCAAATTAGTTTCTACATAACACTCAGTGCTCATCCCCAAAGTGCCCTCCTTCATGCCCATTCCCCCCTCCCCCCCACATCCATCAGTCCTCAGTTTTTGTCAGCATTCAAGAGTCTCTCATGGTTTGCCTCTCTCCCTTTCCCCCACCATTTCCGCCCTTCTTCTCCCCCTTGGTCCTCCGTCAAGTTCCTCCTAATCCTCCTATACGTGCAAACATATGGTATTTGTCCTTCTCTGCCTGACTTATTTCGCTCAGCATAACACCCTCAAGGTCCATCCATGTTGCTACACATGGCCAGATTTCATTGTTTCTCATTGCCATGTAGTATTCCATGGTATAGATAAACCACATCTTCTTGATCCATTCATCTGTTGATGGACACTTAGGCTCTTTCCATGTTTTAGCTATTGTGGAGAGTGCTGCTATGAACATTGGGGTACATGTGCTCCTATGCCTCAGCATTTCTGTATCCCTTGGGTAAATTCCTAGCAGTGCTATTGCTGGGTCATAAGGGAGTTCTATTGTTAGTTTCCTGAGGAACCTCCACACTGTTTTCCAGAGGGGCTGTACCAGTTTACATTCCCACCAACAGTGCAGGAGGGTGCCCGTTTCTCCACATCCTCGCCAGCATCTAGAGTTCTCTGATTTGCTCATTTTAGCCACTCTGACTGGCGTGAGGTGGTATCTCAGTGTGGTTTTGATTTGTATTTCCCTGATGAGGAGGGATGCTGAGCATCGTTTCATGTGTCTGTTGGCCATCTGGATGTCCTCTTTGGAGAAGTGTCTGTTCATGTCTTCTGCCCATTTCTTCACTGGGTTGTTTGTTTTTCGGGCGTGGAGTTTGGTGAGTTCCTTATAGATTCTGGATATTAACCCTTTATCTGATATGTCATTTGCAACTATCTTTTCCCATTCCGTTGGTTGCCTATTAATTTTCTGGGTTGTTTCCTTGGCTGTGCAGAAGCTTTTAATCTTGATGAGGTCCCAACAGTTTATTTTTGCTCTCGATTCCCTTGCTTTTGGGGATGTGTCAAGTAAGAAGTTGCTGCGGTGGAGGTCAAGGAGGTTGTTTCCTGCTTTCTCCTCTAGGGTGTTGATAGTTTCCTGTCTCACGTTCAGGTCCTTTATCCATTTTGAGTTGATTTTTGTGCATGGTGTGAGAAAATGATCTAGTTTCATTCTTCTGCATGTTGCTGTCCAGTTCTCCCAACACCATCTGTTAAAAAGGCTGTCTTTTTTCCATTGGATATTCTTTCCTGCTTTGTCAAAGATCAGTTGGCTGTATACTTTTGGGTCCACTTCTGAGTTCTCAATTCTGTTCCATTGGTCTATGGGTCTGTTTTTGTGCCAATACCATACTGTCTTGAGGATGACAGCTTTGTAGTAGAGGCTGAAGTCTGGGATGGTGATACCTCCCGTTTTGGTTTTATTTTTCAGTATTACTTTGGCTATTCGGGGTCTTTTGTGGTTCCATACAAATTTTTGGATAGTTTGTTCTAGTTTTGAGAAGTATGCTGGTGCAATTTTGATTGGAATTGCATTGAATGTGTAGAGTGCTTTAGGTAGTAATGACATCTTAACTATATTTATTCTTCCTATCCATGAGCATGGAATGTTTTTCCATTTCTTTGTGTCTTCTTCAATTTCCTTCATAAGTTTTCTATAGTTTTCATCATACAGATCTCTTGTATCCTTGGTTAGGTTTATTCCGAGGTATTTTATGGTTTTTTGTGCAATTGTGAATGGGATCAGTTTCTTGATTTCTCTTTCTGTTGCTTCATTATTGGTGTATAAAAATGCAACCGATTTCTGTACGTTGATTTTGTACCCTGCAACTTGGCTGAATTCTTGGATCAGTTCTAGTAGGCTTCTGGTGGAGTCTGTCGGGTTTTCTATGTAGAGTATCATGTCATCTGCGAAGAGTGAAAGTTTGACTTCCTCTTTGCCAATTCTGATGCCTTTGATTTCCTTTTGTTGTCTGATGGCTGATGCTAGGACTTCCAGCACTATGTTAAACAACAGTGGTGAGAGTGGACATCCCTGTCGTGTTCCTGATCTCAGGGGGAAAGCTCTCAGTTTTTCCCCGTTGAGGATGATGTTAGCTGAAGGCTTCTCATAGATGGCTTTGATGATGTTTAAGTAGGTTCCTTCTATCCCAACTTTCTCGAGAGTCTTTATTAAGAAGGGATGCTGTATTTTGTCAAATGCTTTTTCTGCATCTATTGACAGGATCATATGGTTTTTATCTTTTCTTTTATTGA